ATTCCATGGACAAATATCCGTAAGATCCTAAAAGCAAGGAGGATGGCGCAAAAACTATCACCCTTCCACATCTAGTCCTGCACAGAACCCAGCTATTGTGCTAAAAATGAATATTAAAGATTTAGTTTTAACCTTTTTCTTTTTTTAGATAGAGTCTCATTTTGTCACCCTCAGTAGCGTACTGTGGCATCATACCTCACAGAAACCTCAAACTCATAGGCTCAAGTGACCCTCTTGCCTCAGCTTCCCTAGTAGCTGGGACTGCAGGCACCTGCCACAGCGCCTGGCCAGTTTTTCTATTTTTAGTAGCGATGGGGTCTCACTGTTGCTCAAGCTGGTCTCAAACTCCTGAGCTCAGGCAATACCCAGCACTACCCCTCATTCCCACCTAGCCTGCCAGAGTGCTAGGATTACAGGTGTGAGGTTTTAAACTTTTTGAAACCTGTCTTCCAAATCTAATCATCTTCCAACTCAAGAGTCCACATGAGAGGCAGATAGTAACCTGGAGGGTCAGTGACTAAGGCATCCTGGTACTGATAAACTCTAGGCCTTCTGCAGTCAACCAGCCACACTCTAACTTAACTAGAAGAGGCCTCCCAACTTCAGAGAGACCTTCCTGAAGGAGGTAAGAGGTCAAGCCAAAGGCTAAACACCCAAAGAGCATGAGGACTGGGAGGACAGAACCATAACCATGTCCCTCCACAGCTCTACCATGTTAACAGGAGATAATCTAAGAAAAAAGGGTTGGAAAGGGAAGATGGGCACAACGGGTATAATAGGAGTTCTCCTAGGCTCTATAAGACAGAGCAGACACAGTCACACCACAACTGTAAAATGGGAACTACAATGTTATATACCTGAGGGATTTGTGAGGCTAAAACAAGTCAATACAAAGTAGATGTCAGCCATTATCACTACTACACAGGGAGAAGTTTACCACCTCCCTGCTCCCACCAAACTCTCAGGTCTGGTTGCTCACAGGTGGTGGCAAGTGCAGTTCAAAAGTAGTCAATCCCACTTCTGATCAGATTTCTTCCTGCCTTCATAAAGTGACATGAGGATGGATAGGAGATCACCTAGAAAATGCTTTGAATTCCTTAGGAGTCAAGCAATCCCAACAATTCAATACAATATTTGTTCATTCATATACTGAGCACCAACTGTGTGCCAGACATCTCACTAGGTGCTGGAGACACAGTTAAAACAAGTCACTGTCAAGGATTAAGAGTATATTGACTTAGAACACAGCCAAGTAAACACAATCACAACCCTCTGTGATCACTGCTACAGGACCATCAAGGAAGAACATTTAGCTCAGGCCTGCAATGTGGGGGTGGCAACCAGATGAGAAGCACCAAGTAATAGTCCAGCAAAGGTAGAGGGAGCACAAACCGGGTTTGAGCAAAGGGAACAGCACAAAGCAAAGATTGAGAGGTGTAAACATTGGGGATTGCAGAACTGGCAAGCAGCCAAGTTTGACTAGAGCTTGGGAGAATGTGAAAGCATGGAGTAGAAGAGATGAGGAAAGAGAGCCAGACAGGGATCAGAGTTCAAAAGGCCTTGAAAGTCAGGTTAAGGGCGGTGCCTGTGACTCGAAGGAGTAGGGCACCAGCCACATATGCTGGAGGTGGCAGGTTCAAACCCAGCCCTGGCCAAAAACTGCAAAAAAAAA